AGTTGCGACAATCCATACGAAGAATGGAAGTGCGTGTGGAATATATCAATTAAAATCAAGCGATAACAGAAATGATTCTTGAATGTAAATCAAAAGTCGACCAAATTGGAATAGATATACAGGACAACACTTCGTGATACCGCCTGTGCCCATAATATCCCATCAATTTTTCAAAAGGAAGGCTAGCTTTCCTCAGTCCATTAGCATCATGATTAAAGAGATGACCGGGAATCCTGAGGACCGACCTCGTCTTCGCACGCACGCACGCACGATCTTCCACCAATGACGGTGTACGCGATCCGAATCCTGGAAGAAGGTTTCATGCATCACCATTAACATTATTAAAAAATTTCCCTTCCAATGGTGGTGAGTGATACACACACCCATATGTGCACATATTTACTGGTGTTGTACTCCAGGCGAGAGTGAGTGTGTGAATTCTTTGTCTGATCAACATTTTCCATGGTCGACAGACTTTTACCACAACAAAGACAGTCGGAGTAATAAAGATTATCCGTTCTTTTTCGATTTTTGAATGTGGTGGTTGACAAGTTTATACGATGAGTGTGAATGTACGATACACGATGTTGTTGTGTACATTATGCACCTTTAATACATTGCCGGCGAGGGATTGAATGGATTTACGGGGTTTAATGGGAAATGGGAATAAATTAATTTAAGGGAAGACGATAATTTGAGTAGCCAGCATGAGTGACACACAAATTGACCTTTTAAATTGTTGAGGGAGCGTCACAGCAAGTTTATTACATTCGGCTAGCGATCATTGTATGAAAACAGGGTCGTTGAGAGTCTGTGTGCAGTCTACATTCGGTTTTGTTTGTGTCATGATTGATTGAGTGATTGTTGTGGGTTACTTTGTCCTTGTTAAAGCAAAGTGGAATCCAATCGACACATGTCCAACTAGCACAGAGTCAGCCGAACCAGTTGGGGCTGAGGAGGGAAGGAAGACATAGCGTACTTCTCCCACGGACGATTTCCAACATCACGATGACACTCGGTCATTAGAGGTGATGAGTCCCCGCGGGTTCGCTCTGGTGTTCACACCATCATTCCACCGTACGTTACATAATATATAAATAAAAAATAAATGTTCACCTTGAAATTCTCACAGAACGATATCGTTTTTCCGGAAGATTTATGCATTTTCAAGGGGGTTCAGATGATCGACTCACAGAATCATGGATGAAACATTGTCCCGATGAGGTGAACGAGGTGAATTCTCATGAATTCACGCTCGCTGGGAATAAAATTTATTTCATCCTCGCGACAACACATTTTCCTCCATATACAGCACATATCGATCCCATTTGTGATCGAAAAGAAAAAAAAGTGAACACATAATCACACACCAAAGCAAATCCCCTGTTCCATTCATTCATCTATCTCATGCCCTCAATCCATTATTACGTACGCATTTCCTCAGCATCAATCATCAATAAAAAAAAAAATCAAAAAAAAAAATGTCTGCACCCTGTGCACGTACGTAGACATGTATATACTGTACGTATGCAGATGAATCAATGCACGTCGTGCGTATTCCTACGTGATTAACCCACTCATGATCACCACATTCATTCATTATCTCTCCATATTATCGTATTGTATGCCATAACGCTACCATAACGTTCACCTTACCCATGATAGACATCGGGTATCCCTCATTACTGATATTTCTTTCCTTTCAGATGACATCATTTCTTTATCGTAGAAATGAAATCCAACATCGCACCGAGGAATCAAAGGAGTGACCGAATGAGAGAACGGTCAAGAACAATTTGCAGACTCCCCAAGACGTTCATCAAATCAGTTGATGCGTTTGTACCCCTCAAATTTCATTTTAAATTTAAGAATTGCACAAGCGGATGAAAAACTCAATTACATGGTACACCGCATTGTGCCATGGGTGTATACTAATTCAGTATTAATTTTTTTTTTCCAGCAAAAAAGCTATGATATTGGTGGCGCACGCCAACACTCCAACGATGGACAAACTCGAACACCGGTTGCCGAATAAATTCACACAAATCAAATGTCATAACATTGACTCTGGAAACATCGAGTCCAGATGGTATTTTGATCCCCATTTGTACTTTTGGTGTGTCACCGACAAAGAGGAAAACTCGCGCGCACACACAAGATCATTAAAGAAAAGAAAACGGATCGACGTACCCTATCATGACACACACATACACACATAAGCAATACCTCATACTCCCTTCCACCGCCACCAGAAGACATGATGCTTGGTTCTAGAGGTGAGCTCACAAGGGAATGGACCGGTAACAGAGTATGAGATCAAAAACGGGCCTAACCTTCCTTGTTTAATTTCTTGCGTTGTCAAATTATGCTGTGATAATAAAAAAACCGTTATTTATTGTTGTCGATCATTAATCACGAGACCTTAGTATCACCTAACCAATTTAAAAGCTTCGAAAAAAAAAATAATAATAAAAAAAATATAAAAAAAATAATAATAATGACGATGATGATGGGTGATCAGTGGGAAAGTCGGGGAAACTCGTTTTCCACCAAATCGAGATATAATTTAATCATTCCACTCGCACACACGCATTCCAAAAGCAATCAATCACACTTATTGTACTTACACATCGATATAAGGTGTTTGTGTATAGTGTGAAATGTGTTCTTGTGCGCCATCAGCACCCTAAACCAAGACACCGTAAACAAAACTGTTTGTATGATGATATTCTACGTGCGTATAATTTTTCATTCATTAATTTATGTGTTCATTGGCGAGATTGCACAACATGATTTTTCTAGTCATGTGCGTCCATATAGGAATTGATATCAGGCTCGTCTATATAAACTCGGTGACACAAATCGTCAAGGAATTGCGTCCCAAACATCATCTTCCATACCCATTTGGATTCATTCATCATCCATAGGAGCGTCACTCTAATCTACTCTGCTCTGCTCTACTCCAAAATTTATGCATCACCGCAATCGACCATTTCTTCCATCTTTCAACGCTTGCACGGAGGGCGGTGAGCGTGACCGGTTTTGACATTTTCAGATAGTTCGATCACATGACATACGTAATGGGCAACACCTTGAGCATAATGAGACAATAGGCTAACCTCCCTACCGAAATTATTGTGCTCGAACAAACAAAATCATTATTAAAAAAAAAAACTGGTGATGAATTTTTTTCTTTCCTTCTTTTTTTTTGTGTTTCTATTTACTCAACTACATCATCTCCGCACCGCACCACACCACACCACACGCCAATTGTTAAAGGTTAAAGTGGCAAAATCTCGTATCAAATGATCATGGGTATTATGTGTTGACGTTATTAAAAACTTGATGCGATTCCTGATTCACTCTTGACTTACATTTTCCTATTTCTGTTTTCGACGGTCCTATAGCGCTAGTGCTACTGTGCACTAGCGTATCCCGATTTATTCCAATCAAGCGTAAACGGCTAGTGTCGTAACATGATAGTGACACGACGTGCAGAAAGCATCTTGATCTAGAAATAGGGCACGTGATTCGCACAGGAGAGATAGATTCTAAGAGATAAGGAAGGATGTTCGTGTGTTTAAATTACGACACATTCCGCAGATTTGGTCAAGTGAATTTCGTCGATTGCGTTGTGGGTTTAACTTGCGGCGAACATCATGTTGACATCCGAAATCATCTCCGAATTTGGAAGTTCCAGAATTATCATGGATCGGGTCGCTCATTTCTCTATTTCCCTAATAACGTGTTACAAACAAAAATTGTAAATGAAAAAACTGCATGAGCGAGACGATGATCAAGATAACATTTGATGTGCGAGCTGTATGATAATTCATCGGTATCTACCTCACACCGTGTCTCTAATGTTCCATCAATTCCTCGACTTCTTCGTCTCATGCGCGCACACGCACCTCGACGTTTTGTTTTGAATTTTTTCTTTCCTTTTGGCACCATCAATCCCGTGAGGTGCATCTTCCATCCCTCGCCGCATCTCACTTTCCCAGGCATCACGATAACGTTTTCTCGCGCGAACACAAGGATTTCCAAATGAAGACGATTCTGCTAAATTAGAACGATGATCGAATAATAAAATTTCTCAAATATGAGATAATGAGAATTCCATAAATGTACGTTTGGTCGAAGGGTAAGTGAGATGGATATGCGTATGTCGTACACCTTATGCACTGTCGGATTGTCGCATATGTGCTA